CTTTTGCCTTCGGAAGTTGAAGGCGCTCGAATGTTGTCTCAACCTGCTCGCAAAGGTTTGAAAACATCAGTGTGGGATTTCGTACAGCAGCATTTTAAAGTGCCAAATCAGTCAAAGTCCTACACAGTTGGCAACTGGAAGGACTCTAGAGGAAATAATAACCAGAAGGTTACCTTTTATTTGTTTTTTGTTTTTTTTTTAATTTTTAATTTTTAATTTTTTTTTTTTTTTTCAAACTTTTGGAGATGCAAGGTTTTATTCATTACATTACGTTTCCTGGCTCCTGTTTTTCTTTTAACAGGCCATATTTTCACCACAGCTGTTCACGCAATTGTACTTTTGTGATGTGGAACTTCACCCTTTTGGCCTTGTGAACTGTGGAAACAGGTAGTTGTGTCTGTGTAATGCATCACATGCGTGATTTGGCGTTCTTAGTGCATGTAATTCAAATTGTTCATTCCAAGTTCTCTAATTCTGGTGGATGTGTTCCATCCCAAGAAGTTTTTAGTCAACTTCAAATTTATGTCTTAAGAATCTCTATTTTACTAGCTAATTGTTCGTTTCTGATACTTAAGTTTATCAACTAAGTCATCATTAGTCTTGGTTTAAAAGAATATAAATCTGAAAAATCAGTGCATAAAATAAATGAATTAAACTAAAAGCCTCGATAAGATAATTAATGCAAAATGTTTGGTGCTGTGCTTTGGGCTTCAGAACCGCTTTGGGCTTCAGAACCATTTAACGTCTTTATCTCCTTTTACATATCATAACACTTTCCATAGTTCTTGGATGATTGCAAGATACATAACTTTTTTGAATAAATTATGTTGCACGGTGAGAGATCATGCACAGGATTTTCTGTTGAAACTGGGTTCTATGTTCACAATCTGTTTTAAGCTTGATAAATGCATGTAACCATTTCAAGCACCTATATGAAGAATTTCACGTCAGTCCCACAATGGTTATTTGTCAAGAGTCATTGCTGCCTTATTCCTGTTATTAGTATCATGTTCTATAAACCATGTTGGATTTTAGATACTTCATTTCTTTAGTGAATTTGACTTTGGACTTCATTCTTGGAGCTTTTAGAATTCAAAGCTTAATGCTTTGGACAGTCTCAATATGACAAAACTTAGCACTGTGGAGAAGATTGACTTGCACAAATAGGTTTACATGTTCGAAAGAATTATTTTTTGCTTGTTTTGTCTGATGATGATATTCTAGAACACATGCTAAGGGAAAATAATTATAATTGTTTGATTAACATATCAGGACAGAACTTCAGGAGAAATTTTGATATAAGTGATCATATCTGTGTTTTGTGCACTGGGTTTTAAATTGCGAAATGTGGCCAGCACGTGTTGCTTTCCTTCTTGTCTTTAATACAATGCAACTTTCTTAATTCTTTTTGCAGCTGTTATGCGAATGCTGTGCTTCAGTGTCTGGCTTTTACTCGGCCAATTTCTTCTTATCTTCTTCAAGGGTTCCACTCGAAAACATGCAAGTTCCTTTTTATAATTACTTGATAGACTGCACATTTTTAAATCTTTCAGACACTTGTTTTTTGTGCTTATTCTATTTGACAATGATTCAGATTGCAAGAAGGATTGGTGCTTCATTTGTGAGTTCGAAGGTCTGATTCTAAAGGGGCAGGAACTGAGATCTCCTTTATCTCCAATTAGGATACTGTCACAATTACAAAAGATTGGAAGTCATCTTAGTCATGGAAGAGAAGAAGATGCCCACGAGTTTTTGAGGTATATAGTGCGAAGCGGTTTCGATTTTTGTTTAAGAAGTTGCAAGTAAATATGTTGGCTACGTTAATGTTTCTTCACTATCAGATATGCCGTAGATGCAATGCAATCTATATGCCTCGAAGAAGCTGGGGTTACTGGCCCATTGGCAGAAGATTCAACACTTGTAGGTCTGACTTTTGGGGGTTATCTTCGATCGAAGGTTTGTCCTCATGATGATTCATCAACAGGACCGATTTTTTTTCTAGTAAACCATTGTCAATTTGTCATAAAACTTAGGAGTTGTTTGACAAAGCTTTTGATAAAAGGTTTAACAAATTTTGGTAAAAGTTGATGAAATTTGTGGTTGAAAAATTGATAAAGGTTGTGGGTCCTATGAAATTGTGGTTGAAATTGAAGTTCAACCAGTTGAAAAGTTGATAAAATTTTAGAAAAGTTTTATCAAACAAGGGCTTAATCTGGTTTTTGTTACTGATTTATGTTTTCACGGATTTTTACTAATTAGTGTTGAGTGGACATGCCAGATTAAGTGCATGAAGTGTTCAGGGAGATTTGAGCAGTATGACCGACTTATGGATCTTACCGTGGAGATAGATGGGGATATTGATTCTCTTGAAGAGGCTCTTGCACAATTCACAGCATCCGAAACACTTGGCGGAGATGACAAGTACAAGTGCAGCAGGTTTGTTCATTTCCCTATTCAATTAAAACTTATTGGAGTTGTGGTTCGTCCAATTCATTTCTCATAATTTATTGCCGTCATGGCATCCTAATCAAGATCACCTTCATATACATTTTTTTCCTGTTATCTTTTATATCTTTAAGACACGACCCATGTGCTATATCTTTATGGTCGGTGAATTCCACTGCGTAATGGGTCATCTGTATTATATTTGGTATTTTCTTTAGTTAATTGATTCTATGATGTTGTCATTGCAGATGTAAATCTTATGAGAAAGCTAAGAAGCAGTTGACTGTACTTGAGGCTCCTAACATTCTTACAATTGTTCTGAAGCGATTTCGGGTAACTCATGTTTTAGTTACCTTGCATTTTCTATGCTATTTATGTTTTCTAATTATATCTTCGCCATTGTTTTTGCAGTCAGGAAACCTAGGAAAACTAAAGAAGCTCATCCAGTTTCCAGAGGTTCTGAACCTTGGTCCATTTATGAGTGGAACAAGTGACAAATGCCCTATGTATAGTCTCTTTGCAGTGGTTGTTCACTTGGATATGATGAATGCTGCAGATAGTGGTCACTACATAAGTTATATTAAAAATTTCCAGGGAGATTGGTTTAGAATTGATGACAGCAGGGTACGTTTTTATGTATTACCTCAGCTTGCCTTCATATTTTTGTACTTCAAGTTGTTCTTGTTTTCTACCTTTATCTTCTTACCCCAGTTCTCCTCCCTGCCGCCTACATCCCTCTCTGCTTAACACAGCACCTCTCTGCTGTTGCTTGCTTGCAAGGAAAAATCCAACATAAGAGAATTATCAACTATTTCTGCTATCTTAGAAATCTGAATATTGCTTCCTTGGTTTTCTCATATTACCAGAGAATGTCAAGACACTGTTTTTGTTGTTGAAGTCAAACACTAGCCAAATCAAATGGTTTTTAGCATCATAACTAAACAAAATATTTAGTTTGAAAATCATATGTTTTACTGTTTAGAATTCACAGATTGGAAACTCTCGTCTGTTGGTAGTTTGGGTTCTATATAATACAAACTATTTGGTACTTAATTGATTTGTCTGCCAAGGTGATTTTTACTTGATGTTTTCATCTCTCAGTGTCTGCCTCCCTCCTCCCGCTTGTCCCTTCTTTTAGTTTTCTTTCTGGGTGGTGGAGTATTTGGAATATGTTAAGATTCAGGATCTTGCTGTAATTGGTACCATGTAAACCTTGAACAAGAAGGCGCCAATGGCTGAATAGGCTTTGAATCTCCAGGTGGCTGTCTGAGTGCCTGTCTGTCATTTCACGTCTGCTATCGATGTAGTCAGAAACAAATATCTAGTATTCTTTTGGAATACACTTTCGAAGTTTTTCAACCATTTTAACAAAAGAGAAAAAAAAATGGCATGAAATTTGCCTTGGTATTTCTGTCTCATAATGACTGAATGGCTCACTAGAAGTGTTTTGTTGTGTAGGTAATCCCTGTGGACCTAGAGACTGTGCTGTCTGAAGAGGCGTACATTCTTCTCTATGCAAGGTAATTCTAATTGGTCAACTGATTTTTAATAAAAAAGTTTAATTATTAATGATTTGTTCAAACAAGGCATTTATTCAAACAGGCACACTCCCCGTGGTCTATCTTTGGTGAGGAACAACAGTGTGTATTCTGATGGTAAAACAAAAAGGAACATGGAAGCCATTTCTTCAAGTAACAGTGGAAAGAAAAGAATTCCGAAGACAAAATCTGAGACGTTGCATCATTGGTCTGAAAGGCACCATTATCCAAATGATTTCACTGACAACCATATATTGGATTCTGATGGTTGGAGACTTCACTCAATGCAAGGAAATCATATTATGGATTCATTGAGTGATAGTTCTTCCATTTTCAGCATATCAGATGCTAGTTCCAGTACAGATAGCACCAAGGATTCTAGCGTGGAGGACTTATCTGACTATATATTTGGGTCTAGCTCTTATCGTCCGTAGGTGCTTTAGTTGGACACAGGTCTCTCTATCCCATTGCATTCAAGACTCATTAGTGGGGGAGCATTGAAAATCAGAAAGAACTCCCTTCTGTAGACTTTGTATACTGAAACAACTGCAAGTAGTAGATAATTTCCGAGTTTGATAATTGTTGAAGCAGATGAGTGAACGTAATCTGATTCACCCTTTCGGGAATCGTCATGATTCGTTCACTCCAAAGGGGGAACAATCAGCAAGAGCAACTCGAAACATTTTTTGGGGAGTTGGAATTTTGACGATAAGTTATAGGTTGTAAATTGTCGAGGCATATTGTATTTCAAATAATTGTATAATTAATGAGTATCAATAATAGCTCTTGCGGGCTTTCTAAATTTCCCCTGCATTTTTTTGTTAACTTCTACTTTTACCTCAGCTTCTTATAGAAAAGCTCTATGGGGATGCTGTCATAATTAATATTAAAAATTAATTTTTAAAAGAGTTTTGAATAACTAGTTTTATGAAATTAATCGAGCGAGTTCATAAAATGATTTTATCGTCAATTATTACATTAACATACTGTCAAGCTCACCCTACATTTTCTGTTTAAAAAAAAAAGAAAAATTGCCTTTTGGGACGTGATGCAAAGAACAGGAGTGAGATAGTTTCAGTCTTACTGGTAGTCGCAATGTGAGGGTTCGATTTTTGAGATATGAAATTGGACTCTTTGTAGATATCGGTGTACATGCAAGCTTTTGTTACTTGACCTGTTGGGGCATATCTCACGATTTACCTCTCTCACAATACTTCAGGGATGAGATGGGATGGGATGGGATGGGGCGGGGCGTAAAAAAATTGGTTGGCTCAAGAAATAAAAACACGGAGAAGAATATGTCTTTTCCACATCATCCATAAATTGTACGTAAATTACAGTAGTCTCCGGCCCTTATTCAAATGTAATTCCAATGTCATGCGGCAGATTCCTATTTCTCTCTCAATCTCCGGTCAAAAACTCAACCACCTCTTTCAATTTCACCACTGCCGTCGCCTTATTTCAACATCAGTAATTCCAATTTGTTTCCCTGGTTCTACTAATATTAAGAGAGCAATGGTCACTGCTAGCAGTAGCCCTTCTTCCTCTAACCCCAATAATAATCGGGGCGGCAGTGAATTCACATCTCTAAAAGAAAGAATCACATTCGAGAAGGAAATTAAGAAGAGTAAATTCATCGCAATTGCTGGGCCCGTTTCCGATGAACGCTCCGCCTTTACCTTCCTTTCCGAGGTAATTAACAATTAATCATATTTTTCTATACAAAATTTTCCCAAATTTATTTCGTGGTATTTGTATTTGACACTTGAAGTGGTTAATTTTGATTTTCTGAATGCAAAACGCTTTTAATTTTGTTTTCCTTTTTCTATGTGGGGGGCTGTTGCTATTCAGGTTAGAGATCCACGTGCCACTCATAATTGCTGGGCTTACAAGGTATATGCAAATTTATATTTTGGTTGTCTTACATATGATTCCAATGCTAACATAATTAGTTTGCTTTTGCAAGTTTTAGCTCATTAGCTAAGCTTCCCCGATTGGTTGAAGATACCAAACTAATTTACATAATTATTCCCTTACTTTTGGAAGAAATTAGTGACAATCTGTTTTACTGGAACTCGGTTTGAACTACAGTGTACAAAAACGGCAACTTCTGCAAGCTATGTCAAATTCATTTAATGATAGGCCAAGTTTTGGGCAATGAATATAATTGCTATTAAATCATATTTGCTTTTGGGCAATGAATGCAATTCTTAATGCCATAGTAAGAGAATCCAGGATAGTAAGAATAGCATTTTGAACTTATTAAATCATACTTTGCTTTCTGGCATTCTTGATAATTCTGTATGGTGGGTCACGATGTGGCAAACCTACTGTCTACACATAGACTAGGTGATTACAGAAGGGTATGAGGGAACTGACTTCATTTAGCTGGATTTTTGTTCCTTGATTGAGCTGCCTAATGTAAATTGCTAACATTCCAAACCACACCAAGATTTGTATATGTAAGACATGCTCAGCTTGTAATATTACTGTTCGCATTTAAGTTTTTATCTGGCTTCTTTTGTCTCAGGTTCAACCAGTTGTTAAAAAGTCCCAATCAACATAATCAACGTTTTCATTAAAGTTTCAAGATTTTGAGATACATACTCTTTTATCAATTGCCATTTGACATAAAATTGTTGCATTTTATTGATTGTTATACACATTTCTAACTAATACGTAGCTTCAACAATTGTTGGTGCACTTTTTTACCCAGAAATTGGACAGGAAACTGAGCTGAAACCTTAAGTAAAAAAATCTACACTGAGATTATATTGAAATGCACCATGTACCTTTCCATTGGTAGGTGTTCGGAGAAAGGTTCTCCTAAAAAGGTTGCATTTCTTTCCTGTGGAAGGCTGTGCATGGGCTATCTTGATTGGTGACAATACGAGGAAAAGAAGGAAGGCCTAGTAAGAACTAAGAAGTTAGGGCAAGGCTACATAAATCCTTTATTGCGATGCTCTGACAAAGATTTGCTTTGGGATTCTGTATTATGCATTTGGTAGTGTTTACTCCTGGCTGTATCAAATAACTATTCCCTGTGTAGATGGCGTATCTTAGAAGGTAGCTCCATTAGGCGATTCTGACTCATCTTTTGGTGTATGTGGTCATAATTACGCCCAAAGAATAACGCGGTGATTGTAGTACAGCTTTGGGGTGTCGTATCCACAGGGAGATGGAAAAATCCTCAAAAGATCAAACAAACTAGGGTTTTCGTAATTAAATGTGGGAATGATTTGTCACTTGAAATAAAAATTAATTATCAATATGCGAATTAGTGAAGCGTAGGAGTTCCCCCATTGGATTGGATCGATTAAGATCAATAATTCATGTATTTTTACTCAATTAGAGGTTTTCTTCCCAACTCTCTAATTGGAAGATTTAACAGTGAAGTCCAATTTTATTTCAATTATGTTTCTAGAATCTAGATTTTCTATAACACATTCGCACATTTTTATTGGAATAAAATCAAAAATCGACCATATACGTCAGGCATAAGGCAGTAATCAATCCGCCAATAAAGTTATATTAAGATTAAAATTCAACAATTATTTCAATCATTCGATAGAAAGAGCATGGCTAGATCTATGAAGGATTTGATAAAAGTTAAAATAATCTCAACAATAAGTAATTTAAATTGAAACTCAACAAATAGTTTAATTTAACAATGGAAAAAGCATGACTGAATCCATGAGAAATTTATTAAAAGTTAAACAAATTTCAATACTAATTCATAACGAGAAAATCCAAATCTAGAAATTATTAAGCAAAGAGAGTTCGAATTACATGAAATTATGACGTGAAATCTCCAAATCCAATGAGTTCCTTCGTTGCTTCACCGAGTTCCTTAGTTTTCCATGGAGTTTCTTGAGCACCAAGATGAAAGAAATAGGTCCGGGGGCGTCTCCCTTCGTTCTGGGTGGTTTTGGGCATTTATATCTCGTGAAAATTAGGTTACCATAAGAGATTCAATCGTATAAGGAAACTGAGATTCGGCCGCCAAAAAAATCTCCCAATTCGATCATCTTCCATGTCAAAAAATGGGTCCCAACATGAGACTAAAAACTGGTGTGTTGGTTTTCGATTGGAAATTGATGTATTGATCAAAATTTGATGTTATTTCATTCCTTTGACTTCGTTCCTCATCCACTTGACCTCTAACACTTTCAAATCTTCATCATAATCTTGGACACAAGTTTGAATCATTTGCACTTTAGTCCTCGAACTTTCGTTCTCTTCTACTTTGGTCATTTTTCACTTGTTTCTTCCGAATTTTATCTTTTTCACCAAAATGCAACCTAAACCAAAATATAAGAGTAATGAGTGTATTTTGGCATAATATAATCACATGAATGCAATAGTTAAGAGGGGAAAATATGGTATTTTACACTCTTATCAGGTCAGAAAGATATTCAGGCATCATTTAGTGCAAAGTGTTCAATGGGAAGACTGATTTCTCTTATACAAATTAGTTATATTTTTGTCTGAGTCTTTGTCTCGCGTTTTAATTCTTATGTGGCCTTCTCACTTCATATGAATATATTGCTTTCAACTATACTCAGTGCGCATATAATCCTTCACAGGTTTACGCAACAAAATTTTTTTAACTTGTACCTATAACAATTAATTGTAAGGATGAGTCCTATAAAAAAGAAATAAATAAATAAATAAAATTGTAGGGATGAGTAAGTGCGACCATATCTGTTTCCTTTTTTGGTTTATCTCATCATATCACATTTTGTTCTTTGAGATCTGAAATCACTGTCAATAGATGGGAATCTTGCTGAGTGTATGGGCGTGTGTTTGTAAAACCTAATATCATAGTCTTTCTTTATCTAATGCCACAAACTTAATTGGTTCTTAATTCTAGGTTGGAGATCAATATCGGAGTAATGATGACGGTGAACCATCTGGTACAGCTGGCAAGCCAATACATTCTGCAATTGTCTCTTCTGGCATAGATAGAGTTATGGTTGTCATTATCAGGTACAGGCCCCAGTATTTCAATTGAGGAAAGATGGTGTAAGTTATTAAATTCTTTTATTGATTAACATATTTTAAAGATGATCTGGAAACTGCAGTTGCCTGTTTTGCTAGTGGCTGTACTTCTACTCCTTTTATAGTTGATAATCCTTCATTGTTGTCTCTTGCTCAAAACTTCAGAATGTCATTTTAGCTGACCAAAGGTCTGCAAATATTTGCTTCATGCTTCACTTTATATGTTTCCTCTATTTGGTTTAGGTATTTTGGAGGAATCAAACTTGGCACTGGAGGATTAGTTAGAGCATATGGAGGAGTAGCTGCCGAATGTTTGAGGAATGCCCCGACATGCCTTGTAAAATCAAAAGTAAATTGATTGTACTTTTGCATTCTATTTCTACTTAGCTCCTTAAAAATCCAATAATTGCATTTAAATCACTTTATGCTTGTATTTGCTTTCACGCTACCTCACTGAAAGCATGCTTATGGGTGCATAAATCAAGCATGATTCTGTTGTAGGTTCCTATGGGCTTGGAGGTTTCATTTGATCTTTTGGGAGTACTCTACCATCAAGTAAGATTCAAATTGTTGAAATTACTTAACTTTATATTATTTCTAATTATAATTTTTGCTAGCTACTCTTTCGACAATTCTCATTTTGACATCTTTAGGCTTCATACTAGTCAAAAGAAAAACTGAAATGCCCTTTTGGTTTGACCAAGTGACAAAAATGTTTAATTTTTCCATCCAGATATAATAAGCAAAGACGAAAAGATAATGCTGCCTATCTATTTCTCAAATTAATCAAACTTTGTCTACTTCCCTTCTATATATCCCACTCTGATTGATCTGCTGCGTTGATATTCTCCCATATTAGTGTCAATGTTCTGTTTTTTCTTATCTGATACACTATCAGCATGGTGTGTACCATCTTACTTGTTTTTTCATTGAAGGACATTTTGGACTTATTTCCTTCGAGTCTTGAAGGGGAGATTTTTTATGTAACTGGAAGGAATATGTAATGGTTGCAGTTTAGATCAAATAATTGAGGGACTAATCTTTAGATTTTGAAACCATAAACAGTTACTTTTAATGTAATTAAGCCTAATGTTCAATGGGAATGAAATGCCTTTTTAAGTTCTAATAAATTTAATAAGATAAGGAATTTGTTGTGATGAACAAGATAGAATCTAATTTGTAGAATTAATAGAACCACGAGCATGATTTAGCCTATCCTAGCGCAATCTTGACATTCAAAGACTGAGATTTAGAAATTTCTTGGTTTCCTTAGAGCGACCTATCGTAGTCGGAACATTTGAATCATAATCTGTGACCTAGGTTATTTCAGTAACATCTTTTATAAATTGAACTTATTGCTTCTTAGATTTTTTTTGTTTTTGTTTTTTTTGTTTTTGTTTTTGTTTTTTTTAAATATTTTATTCCTTCTTAGTTAAGAAGAATGGTTACATAACTCCATCTTATACTTGTTGACTTGCAGCTACAATCTTTTCAAGTCGAGGACATCAAGCAGGACTATGATACTGGAAAAGACAATGTTACAATGGTCACTTTCAAAGTTGATTTTGATCGGGTACAAAGTTTGGAAGAAGCTATCAAGGTAAGTTGTAGCCGTGATATTGTGTTTTATAAGCATTGAAACACTCGTGTTTTTGGTTTTCCTTTTGGAAACATAGGGATCTTCAAAGCTTTCAAGCTCAGCAGAATGAATTACAATTTTAAGATAAGAGGCAAATTTCATCTTTTCTGCAACCTGTTCTTTGCTTAATGCTACAGTTTTAACATATATCGCGTGGATCGATGATGCATGTATGATATTAAACTGATGAGAACAGGTTGTTGCACATATTGTTGATGTACACAATAAGTTCTATTTGTAGTGAAAATTTACACCTGACAGAAGTGGACAAGTCGATTATTGAAAGAATGCAAAGTGTACCTTGGGTTCCTGTAATTACACTATTGAAATAACTTCAGGTAAATTTTTCTCTTTCTTCAATCTGACATAGTTCCAATTTGACTCTTAGCCTATATTTGGTGGGGATTAAAATAAGATTTTTAGTAGATTTTGATAGAAATTGATGAAATGTGTGGTTGAAAAGTTGTTAGATCAATCAAATATGTGGTTAAAATGAATTGTGCTTTGACTTTGGAGATCTTAATTGGTACCAATCCGGTTTGCTTAATTACTGGGCTACTTCTAAATGTCTGGCTTTCAAACTGCTGGCATTGAAGGCTAAGAATCCTTAGGAATCATCGGTTGAGGTAATGTAGGTATGGCTTGTGGCATAGTTTGCAATAGGTTTTGGTTCTTGCCAGCGCGCTAATGTACAAGCTCGAAAATGACAGCTGCAAACAATTGTAATAAAGGTGGCCATTTGTTCGGCTACAGAAAATGTACCATAACTTTGTCAAGCCCTTTTGAACCTGCTGAGGTTCACATTGTCACCAGTTCGGAATAGCTTATAAAGAATTGAGTAGCATGTTTGGTTAGAGATTTGTTACATGTGCACTTTAGTGTACAGCCCCTGGGGGGGGGGGGGGGGGGGTGCAAATTTTTTAATCACTGTGAGCCCCCTCTTATGTGAGGGGGTGGTACACTAGAGTGTACACTGTTGGAATCTCCCGTTTAGTTACATGCTTGTAAGATATGTGCTTTTTTTACGAATTAAAGTTAATATTTACTTTCTTTAAAAATAAATTTTGTTTTTATTAAGTAAATGTGAGCCTTAAAAATGAAAAGTGAGTTTGATATATACATATATATATATTTTTAAATTTAAATCCACTCAAGTGGCTCGTTCTAATAAAAATTAAATAAAAATTACGAACTTAGGAGGATGCTAGGCCTGACTTCCAATTAATAAATCGATCTTATTCCATCTGTATAAAATGGGGGAGGGAAGGGGAATGCAATGTTATATAAGCATAAAATTATAAAACTAGGACTAGAATTCATATGATCGCATTTTGGATACTTTTGTCATTTTGATTTATGTTAACTCCATTCCTCCAACCAATTTGATACACGTAATTACTGAATGACACTGTTCAGGGGTACCAAATTAAGTGAATTATAATTATCGTTAAAAAATGGAACCCAAACAAATGCTAAGAATGAGGACGAGAAGCTTCTTACTCACAATAAATATTGATGGGGAGGAATCGACGAGTCAAGCAAAAGAGCGTGACTCTATGATTTTATTGTTTGTTCCGTAGATATATTTATTATACAATAAATTGAGAAAAAGAAGTTGGATTTTTATTCATTCCTGCTTGATAACAGGCAATCGACACAGGAATAGAATTGACGACAAACAATATAAAGAGATTAGGATCATTGCTGAATCCAAACCCATTGAATAAGTCAAACCGTGCAAGTTTCCAACTGATATAATTTGTTCAAAATGGAATGGCCGTAAAGCCTTTATTATCTGAGAGAAGCTGCATGTACAGAAGCTCTTTCTACAGAAGTTGGTTAGATAACACACAAAATAGCGTGGATGGGTGATTTTTTGACATTATTTTATCATCCACATGGGGCCCACCATGTGAGTGATTTGGTGGAGTTCTGTGGCCACCATTCTGTACAAAGGAAGTTTCTCTTATTATCTATATATAATTTTGAATTTAAACCTACTTTCCAATGAATATAGACAAACATCAACAAATTACCAAGCTAGCAATAACCTTACGGCCCTGCTACATGTACCCCGAGCCTTACAGCTTGATGTACAGCCCCTTTACATGGGACGTGGGGTCCACGCATTAAATGGGCGTGAGCCTCTACCCTCATGTGAGGGGAGTGTAAGGCTCGGTGTATAAGGGACATTATTCATAACCTTATTCTTTGCGAGTGTGTGCAATTTTCTAGCTCTTTATACTTGGATATGATTATTTACAAATAAGTCTTCATAAACCTAAGCCTCCTTTGAATGAACCATGAAAAATTCATCATATCCCAAGTGATGAACCTCTAGAATTCTTTCACATTCTAACGATTCTGTACAAGTCTCTTATCATATCCTTATGCTTGACTTCTATATTTTTTTTATTTTTTATTTTTCCTTTCCCTAGAACGTTCACATCCTCGTAATGTCAACCTGCGTTTAGAGTCTTGTGCTGTCAACCTCCTCTTTCGTTCATCGTAATCCTTGGTTGCACCCCTAGCATCAAATCTTTGGATAAACCCAACTTATTTAATTCTTCAATAATATGTACCCAAGTCGTTAGATTACATACTGTCCGCTTTGGGTGGGCTTTGCGCCCACTTACCCCTCACGACTTTCTGTCGCGTCCCCCAAGATTCAAACTCATAATATTTATCCCCCATTTCATAGGATTACAAGGCACAATTTTTATAGTTGTTGAACTAGAACTAATTGATATTTATCCCCCATATCGTTTAGGTTGCGTTTGATTGCCAATATTTTGTATGAAAAATGTGTTCTTTCCATCCAAATTCCTATTTTGTGCCGTTTGATTGTCATTTTTTTTCGATGGAAAATATTTTACACTTTTTGGTTACGTGACCATATTTTTCTCAAAATCAAGAAAATATTTTCTTTAGGGTGAGTAAAATTTTGTTTTCCGAGGAATTCACCCTCTCTTTCCCTCTCTCATCTACCCATCAATAAAAAACGGACAAATATAATATTTTTTAGGTTGAAAAATAAATCAATCAAATACATTTAAATGACAATTTCTATGCAAATAAATTCTAGACAATTGAATTACCAAGAATTTATTTTTGTCCATGCTAATTCCATGATTGCAATCAAATGCAATCTTAGTTAAAAATAAAATTTTTAGTAGATTTTGATAAATATTGAAATGTGTGGTTGAAAATGAATTTCAAAAAATGAATTTAAAAAAAAATGGTTCTAAACATGGACTTAAATATAAATACTACAACCTTAAACTTCTAAACGTTTACAACTACTGTTTCATCAATATCGTTTAAGAAATTAGTTGAAACACAACAGTATATAACTACTGATACCAACTGCTCGATCAGCCACACTTTCTTCTTCCAGGTATTTTTCTCTATTTTATGTTATTACGTCTGTGCAAGATTCTGTATTTGCTGAGTCCACAAGTGCATTCAGCGTACAGATATTTTCCTCGTACATTAATCTTTTTTATTCAATTTGTTTTATAATCTGAGACACTGTTGGTCAGCAGTCTCATTTGTTGTTGTGAAAATGGAGGCAAGACAAAGGTTTTTGGTTTTAGGATATCTTGCAATGGCTTTTTCATTGTTTTCGCATGAAATTTTAGTCAAATTTGATTCGAAATGTGTCATTGTTCAAAACTCATATGAAATTTCAGTCAAATTCGATTTGCAACGCGCAAGCCAAAAAACCGCACGAAATTTTAGTGAAATTTGATTCGAAATGTGTCATTGGACCAAACTCATGTAAACTTTTAGTCAAATTCGATTTGGAACACGCCAACGAAAAAATCTCGTGAAATTTTAGTCAAATTTGATTCGAAATATGTCATTGAACAAAACTCATGTGAAATTTCAGTCAAATTCGATTTGGAACGCGCCATAGAAAAAATCGCATGAAATTTTAGTCAAATTTGATTCGAAATGTGTCATTGGACCAAACTCATGTAAAATTTTAGCAAAATTCAATTGCAAACGCGCCAACGAAAAAATCGCATGAAATTTTAGTCAAATTTGATTCGAAATGTGTCATTGAACAAACTCATGTGAAATTTTAGTTAAATTCGATTTGAAACACGCCAACGAAAAAGCCACGTGAAATTTTAGGTAAATTTGATCGAATTAGACTAACAACTCGCCAAAAACGAACCAACCCGAAGTTATCATGAAATAAAAAAAATATTATTTTGCCTTGCGACGATCTCATTTTACCATAAACTCTAATCCCTTATGCACTTCATCACATGGAGGTTTTGCTAATTATTACAAAACCATCTCTTTTTTTTCTCTCTCTCTCTCTTAATCATAAACTTTGCACTAAATTATTAAATTAGATTCCTGATATTGTTGAGTTAATTTTGATGCATGGCATAGTAATATGTAAATAATCACAGCCATTCTTTAAAGTATTCCTGTATGTATAAAAACCTGAAAAACGTTTCAATTTGATACTAAAAACATCTATGTAACATGATTAACGTTTTTAATTTCAATTAATTTTCAAAGTCATCACGTATTGATGTAGCAGTGTCAACTGACATCATTTACAGTTGAACAAAATACCACTTGGACCCTGCTATGTGTATAGGCAGGTTTCATACAGAAACCTATCAGAATACACACATAGAGGGGTAGGTGGGGGTATTTTTTGACAATTTTTTATTCACAATGAATCCCACACATGAGAGTAATTTGGTCAAACTCTGTCAAAAATTTTATGTACAAATGGCATTCTCCATACCACTTTAGGCATATATGAATGACATATGGAAGTTAATTTCTCTACCTACAAAGGAAATTCACTGAATAAAAAAGCTTTGATTTTTATAATCACATTTAAAATTGAATAAGTATTTAAATAAATCCACAGATAATGCAATTCTCTATGAGTTCATATTATTCTAGTAGTTGATTTCCTTTTTCTTTCTTTATCAACTGCTGACTTGTAATTAATAATTAATTTTCCAGATGGATTCCACAAAAGGGTGATGAAGAACAGAGATCGTCTTCTCCACTCGAACTCCATAAATGGGAGGATCGTGTAAGCCTAAATTACCCGCATAAAATACTCTCTGATTTTTTATTTTTTTTTCGAAATACTTTATGTTGTAATCATTGTAAAGAGTTTGAGGATATATATATATATAAAAATATTGTGAGACCTACTTTCAACTAATATGTTGCTTTAAGAAAAGATAACTAGATAAGAGCTACTAAATTCTAAATGTGATTACAAAAAATTTATGTACACTTGGGAGATAAACACAAATGGTATCGGGAAAAATCAACGGAAATGAAAACTGAAAATTGAGCTAGATAGAGCAAGGACAAAATTTACGTGATTTTAC